GAGCGGCAGCAGAAACCGGGGTGAGGAGCGGGGCGTTGCGGTGAGTCAGCGGGTGGAAGGGCAGCAGCAAGCTGCAAAGGTTTCGGCTGCCGTTTCGAGCGCCTGCCCTCGCCTCGCCTCGCCTTCCCTTCCCTCCTGCCGCCGTTTCACTGCATCAGAGGTTTTAATGGAAAGTGCCAGCAACTTCCTCAGGTTCAGCTCGAGCTCGTTCATTAGGCAATTAGAGGATTTTTATGAGATAGAAAAAAACAATTTGAAATTATAAACTTTCCCCAGTTGAGAGGTATTTGGGGGGATTCGCTGGTGCTCCCTTTAAATAGGGAATGCTTTTCCACCAAGCTCAGTCCGTGCCTGTGAGCAGTGTACCTCCTGGCTACCCGTGGACCCCCCGGGCACCCGCACCTCCACTCCGGACAAGTTCTGCGGTTTAATTTAACCCCGGTCAGAGGCCTTTGGTGAGTGCAAGGGTTTAGCAGGGATTAGATGTGGATGGAGATTATGTCCACAATTACATTAGGCAGCCTGACACTGGGTGCGTATGGGTTATCAACCCTCCTGGCATGAGCAATTTGAAAGGGCTTCCTCTAAGCTCGCTTTATTCCTCGACTGCCCGTTGCAAGGAGCCTGCGAGGCCACTGGAACCAGCTGCCTGGAGGAGACAGACACTTGGATTTACATAAATACATTATTAGTTCAGCAATTATTTTAAAACAGTTGTAATTAATGTGAAATGAATGCAAAGAACTTGCTCTTTGCTTAATAACAGAGTTGGAATAATGCATGGAGCACTGGCAGACCTGCAAGCACTGAAGAGATGCAAAAATACTTCGAGAGCTGTGAGGGAGAGCCTGGGAGCTCTGCAAGCCTTGCGAGGACCCCCCCCAGCTCCCCACATGACTATTTCTGAACGTTGTCCCATGTTCTTCTCGCAGGTTCCTCAGGACAGAGATATGCCGGTTCTGAGATGAGCCCCTGAGCAGCAAAGAGCCATCGCTTGTGCGGCACCTAAAGTGTGACTAGGGCGTCACAGAGCACCGCAGGGGAACAAACCTTTGCTCCAAGTGCCATAATATGCTTTTTCCATCCATGCTGCTTCAGTCCATCGTCTGGGCCACCAGCTGATGAGATGGCACAGAGCGCCGAGCTCCAGCCAAGCTTTGAGGACGTTTTTAATATTCTATCCCAGATCCCACAAGATAAACTCCTTAGCCTCAAATATAAACTGAAGCACTTGATACTTGGCCCCAGCAGCAAATTACTGCAAGCCATGGTCCTGCTTACTCTGGGGCAAGAAGCGGATGCAAGAATTTGTTTGGATGACTTGGGAGATAACCGGGCAGCCCAGTATGTCCACCAGACGAAACTGGGCGCTGCAGGAGTGCAGGAAGATGGGGAGGATTTGCAGCCTGCCCAGCTGGATGCAGGTGCCATGGCACTTCTGGCACAGATCTACTCGGTGTTGGCGGAGGAAAAACTGTGCAGTCATGAAGCCATGGACAAAGCCTGCCAGGCCGCCACCAAAACCTGCAACGCCAGCAAGGAAACTCAGGGGGACACGCTCAACAGCATCCCAGCTGAGGACCAGGAAGAACATGGCTCTGCCATCAGCATGGGCCCAGGTGACAAATTTCAGATGCTGAGATCTGATGTGGGCATAGGATTTCACCAGATGGCCAGCCCAAACTACGTGGTGAGAAGTTCCCCAGTGCAGATTGGAGGCAACTCAGACCTTTCAGGCCCACGGACCTTGTGCTCCTTGGGGAGTCCCTCTCTCCCCAGTCACTTTGAGATCAGTGCGTCGCCAACAGTTGTCTTTCACACCCAGCCTTCTTCTCACAAGTGTGTCCCCCAGCCCAGCCAGCTGTGCGAAGGGAGCACCAGCGGTGCTGGACAGCCTGACGGGGACAGACGGAGCCACAGCCTGGAGGAAACAAGCTGGGCCAGCAGACCCAGCTCTCATCCTGGGCAGGACACAGGTGCCCAAGTCCCCCGACCGGAGAAGGTTCTGCAGGTCAGTTCATGTTGTCCAACTCTCCCTATTCCTGAAACGCAGCTGCCTACACTGGATGCTGTGAACCAACCTGTCAAAAGCGGTGATGTTTCCAGCACAGTGGCAGCAGAACCTCATGCACCAAAAGAAAGCACAGACAAAAAGCAAGATGAAAAGCAATTATCTACAGGTCTTCCTGACTCACGAGCTACAGTGGATACTGGTCCTGCCCACCCATCCATGGAGGACTCCTATGTTCCAGCAGGCATTTCTTTTAACTCTGCACCTGCTTCCATTTCAGGCTATTCCCTTCCTTCTCCTACCTATTCCTTCTCCTCAACCCTTCCCCCTCATCTTCGGGGAGCTCCTTCCAACTTATCATATCCCCCTCCCCTCCACTCATCCCCCTCTCCAGCCTGGCCTCCTCCTCTCCAAGCTGTAGAAGCAGTGCCCACATCAGAACCAGATGGTGGAGAGAGAAAGTTCTTCACTTTCGTTGTCCTGCACGCTAGTGAAGATGAGATTGTTGCCCATCGGGTCAAGAACCTGCTGGAGAACATGGGGGTTCGCAACGGTGCCACACTCTGTGAGGACTTCTTAATTGCTGGACGCAGCCATCTGACTTGCTTCCAGGATGCTATGGAAAACTCTGCTTTCATCATCCTTCTGCTGACCAAGAACTTCCCATGTGACCTGTGTATGTTTCAGACAAACACTGCCCTGATGGAGTCCATCCTGAAACAACCCAAACGTGACTCAGTCATCCCTTTTGTGCCCAAGGAGAACCCCCTGGAGTGGAGTCAGATTCCCAGCACGCTCGGTGCGCTGATGCCCTTGAATGAGAACTCTCCTGGGTTCTCCAGGATGGTGCACAACACCTTTACCACCAGTAGGATCAGTAAGAAGAAAGCCATGTGGGACCAGATGCAGAGAGAGAAACTACAGCGGTATCAGGAACAGTATCAAACACTGCAGAACTTTGGTGCTCTGAACCTTGGCTCCTTTGCCCAAGTGCCTCCATCAGCAACACGGCCGCAGCTGCTGAAGCAATCACCCCAACAGAGGTGCCCCCCCGCTTCGACTGTCCCTCCTGCCACATACCCGCCTCCCCCCGCTGGTCATCCCATGCCTCCTCATATGGGTCCCCATCCTTTCCAACCGCTTCATCTCCCGTCAGGCCACTACAACACGATGCCAGGTCCAGGAGGCACCCCGCCCCTCATCATTCAACATGCTCGAATGGTTCAGATTGGGAACCACAACATGATGCAGGTAGAAACTGTCACACCAGGTCCACAGGACAGTGAGGAAGAAACCAGGTAGAATGGTTGATCAGAGACGCAGCAGGTCAGCCGAGGCCAGAGACACTCACACTTAGTTTCAAACCCTAGATTATAGTGATTCTGTTGGGACTGGGACTATTCTGATTTCACTGTGGGTAAAAGGTGCCACTTTCTTGGAGCACAGGAGAAAATTACCTTCTCTTTTGTTGGACAAAAGAGGTTGCAATCTCCTGAGACTGTTTTCCTTGTGCTTATTTTCGAGTAACTGAGAAAACTCTTTTTCTGATTTTCTGAGGCTACTGAGAGATTTTATAAATAAATTTTAATTAATTTATTTGTGTTTCTCTGGTTCTTTCCTGTAGAATTAGCAAAAGGGCAGTCAGGGATATTGGGAAAACTGTTCTGCATGTCTGTACCTCTGGGGTGGAGGGGCCTGGGAGATGGCACACTGGGCTTCTGTTTCATAATCTGCTGCTGACCAAATCACTTGAGGGAAAATCTTCAGGGGATGCTTTGGGGAGTCGCTGTGGCCCCCTGTCAAGGTGCTAAGCACCACAAGGTCCCACTGTTTTCTTCCAGCAGTCCTCTTTGCTCGGTGTCACACAGTATCCTCTCGGCCTTTCACACCAACGCCTACTTTGCATGCATGGCGCGCTCCCCTTGCTCCAGCACACCAGCAGCGCCATTTCCCCCAAGCCTCTCGCACCAGACCCAGGAAGGTTCAGGAAACGAGCTTCACAGCCTTCTGAGAGGCTGCAGGCATCGAGAGATCACTTTTCCCAGTTCCCCTCTGAAACTACAGAGAGAGAAGTTTTTTTTTTTGTGAAAGACAAAATTCCCATGTGCCCCTGGAGGCATGGCTTGAAGGAAAGTATTTTTGTATTTAAGAAAACTGTTAAAGAACTGAGACTACACACCAGATAGGCAGCTAAACAAGAATCTTTACAGTAAAGCTGTGTTTGGGAAAAAAAATTACTTAATGAAGGTGGAATGAGAGGGGGGAAGTGCAGAGAAAGTCCGAGGATGCAGAAGCTGAGTGTTCACTCCTCCATTCTTACCTGTTGTAAAAGGTCAGAGGTGGGACCAGGGCCCTGTTAGACTGGCTGTTGCACAGAGTAATGTTCCCTACGGAGATTACTCCGCCTATTTATGTTATTGCCCTTGAGGAAAAAGTTTGACGGAAAAAAAAGCACTGAGCAGAGCATTACAGAAGGGGTGGAGAAAGGCCAGGAACGGGGGAGGCGTTCTGCAGGACCTGGGTGAGGGCTATACCAGGCAGATCTCTACTGAGCTTTTAACACAAGCAGGGTGTCCAAAGCCAAGCCCCAGACCCCGTGCTCTCCCTCCAATGCCTCCTGCCGCGGCCGTTTACCTGCTCTGTCAGTAGAGGTCAGCCCAAAGCCACCAGACTAGAAATGAGACTGCTCCCTCTGCGGACCAGAACCCAGCCAACAGCATTGACCTCTAGAGTCAAGTCACCCTGCGCCGGGGCCTCTGCAAGCTGCAGGGCAGCTCTCGCTCTACTCCTCACCCTAGGAAGGAGCCCGAGAGCTGCCAAGTCCTCATTAAGGTGGACCTCGAGGGCCAGTGTGATTGATACAGGGGAGGTGACCCCGTTTCAGGTATTTCTGCAGATGTGCATGCGCTTGTGTCACTCTGAATAGCTGCCCCAGTACGTTTCAAATCGAGAGGAGCCAGCACGGTCTGGCAGCCAAAGCGCAGGACTCCTACAGGCCATCCTGGACCTGGGACTACCCAAGCTGGGCACTCAACAGGGCCTAATTCTGGATCGTAGTCTTTGTCCAAGAACCAGCCAAGCCTTACAACCAACACCTGCGTAAGGAAGGCATTAGTAAGTCCTTGGAGAAAAGACTGTTCAGCTGACATTAATCCCCTCTCAGGGAGTACTCTGGTCACCAGGCTAAAGACTGTCCCAATTCTCACTCTTCCTTTCTGGCTCAATCTACCTCAAGCTCTTTCTGTACCAAGCACGCCCTCCCAAACAAGTACCAGCCTACTAAATAAAGCTCACTACTGAGACATGAATCCCCACCACAGAGGAGAGAACAGAATGGGAGTCTCTCCTTAGTCCTGGCTCCTCAGAGGACAGCAGGTAACAGTATAAAGGAGGACAGTCCCCTCCACCTGCCCTGTGTTGAAAGCTGCAACTGCTGCCTTCTTATTTTCAAGCAGTTTACGCCCCTCAGGAGGGGCCAAAGATGTCTGCAGGGTGATGCGGGAGAGCGTGGGCACTGACCGAACTTCAGTGCAAGCTCTGGAGCTCCTGGGCACCACCAGATGTAGGAGCCAAGAGCTGATGTGTCCCTACTCTTAAACTGCAACAGAGCAGTGGCTGTCACAGTTTTGGATTTAAATGCCACAGAATTTCCTTTTAAGAGGCCACAGGTCCTTTCTCACGGATCTGTCCATAGAAGGTCTCTCTGCCTCCCTCCCCCCTACCTGAGGGAGGCTTAACTCCTCCTGGACCTCCTTGGCTGACAACTAGCACAAGACACCAGGCTCAGACAAATCAAAGCCCTCTCTGTCCTGAGCAGAACAAGAACCACATAAAAGCATTGCTATTTAAAAGCTGCCATCAGTTGTTGGCTTCCAGCTTTGAAACAGTTTGGCTTTTGACTTCGAAGGACCCAGCGACAATGTATTAACTCATTTACTCTATAAAGAGTCTGCTGGAATCCTCCAAGTGCTTGGATTCCTTCTATTTCCTTATTTTCTCTCCCCTACGTCACCTTTGTTCGAATAGGTATTGTGTTACCGCAATTCCTGTCACACTGCAGTTGTTGCTGTGCAGCCACCAAGGACAGCCCCTCCCCTTGGGAGAAAACACATACATCACTCCTTCCCCAGCTCTTCTGCTTTCTATAAATAAATGTCACGCAAAACTAGTCAACCGGAGGCTGTTCTAGCTTGTAAACAACCTTAACACGGTCACATCAAGTTTGCTTGGACCGGAGAAAGGGAGAGGGAAAGACATGGCAGCAGACTGTAAAACATTGCAGGGTTGGGGGTTTTTTTTAAGCTTACAGTACGTGGAGGGCCAAGAGGCTCAAGGAAAGACATGGCAGCAGACTGTAAAACATTGCAGGGTTGGGGTTTTTTTTTTAAGCTTACAGTACGTGGAGGGCCAAGAGGCTCAAAGGTTATTGGGAGCAATTTCCACTGAAGAGCCACAACTCTGTTTTAACCGCAGCAACAGGTTCACTCTTCCCACGTTTTCAGGGCCCTCTTTGCTGTTGCTCACCTGGAAAGGAAGCTTTGCCACCAGGGCCTTGTTTTCACCAGGAGAATGCATGTGTGCCTGTGACCCCCTCGTTCTTCCCCAGTTTCTCTGGGAACCTGGGAAATGCTGACACAGTATCCCTATCTTTATGCTCTAGGCTGCTTTCTTCGTAAACACTCATCTTATGGCATTAGGAGGATCCAAAGACGTCCATAGAACGGCACCAGGAAAACCCCAGTGAATTTCTCACCACTTTTGCATTATCTAAAGAAACCTGTATGGGAGGCTTTATTGTCAAGAGGGACAATTACCAGTATTAAAGAGAGAAAAGCACATCTTAGGTTTTAAGAAAAGAATAAAAGGCAGACATTTTGTTCGTGGCAGCGTACAGAAGGGCTCCTGCAGAGCAGTGTGCTACAGGAAGGCCTGTAGCCACCCCAGTGAAAAAAAAACTCCACTCCCTGTCCAAGATAATTAGTCAGATAACAAAATCATCACTGAAACGTTTCACTGCTCCCCACAACTCCTTGTTTTGCCCCACATACTGGAGCTGGCCCAGACCACACCTATAATAAATAAGGACTGTTCATTCTAATTACCCCTAAATTCATGCAGTGATTTATCCCACCCAATAATTACTATCAACATCTAATTGCTGGGTCCTTACTATGTAATTACAGATTACTTGTGTGTTAAAAAAGAAAAAATTTAAAGCCCTTTTCTATCACACAAAGTATTCTCCTCCTTGAGGCCTTTGTACATGACTGGATCCCCCAGCTACCTGATCACAAGATCGTGGCTCCAGAGTTGCTTCCCCATCCCAGCTGTGGAAGAACTCCCTTCTCATCTCTCTCCTCCCAGCAGCTCCGTGCACGGGATGGGATTGCAGTCAGAGAGCACCACAGTCAGGAACGATCAGCTGCTGCCTCGGTCCTGAGGCTATCCAGTTCCTTGTACCTGCGGTGGCAGCTGCTCACCTACATACCTGAAGATCACCTAAGGCTATCCGGTTCCTTGTACCTGCGGTACTGCTGCAGCTGCTCACCTACATACCTGAAGATCACCTATAGCACAGCAGTAGTATTTTGATGGGAGAAGCACGTCCCACAGAGCTGCAGACACTGCTTAAATGTCGTGTCCAGCATTTTCAAAGGAAACAGAAGGCAGCACCATTGATCAAACCATCAAGAATTATGTTTCAGGATGGAGCAATCAATGAAGGGACAAACATTCAAATATTTTATCCATCTGCTCCCATCTTCTGTGGGGAAGGCCGAGCATTTTTGGAAATCCCAATTCTTGTGTGGAACTAACTCTAGTCCCTTTAATTCCTCTGTCTGCTTTTGACCTCCCACTGACAGCTCTGGGGTTGAAAAACATAAATTGATGATAGCCACACTGCATCCCTCTTTCTGCCTGCTGTGCCCACAGTCCCAACCGTATGTAAGGCAGGTAATATCTGAGTCAACAGAGTAGCATCCTTTCACACTGCTGTATTACATCAAAAGATAAGGCAACGTATATAGAGGTGTCACTTTCAGTGTCAGTGTTACCCTTTTTCAGGGGAAATGTTTGCAATTGCAGTACAGATTAGCTTTTCCCAGGAATAAATTCAGATGAAATGAAACAATCGCATCTGTTGATTGCAAATGCCCAGTATTTCCATACCCACAAGTGTACCATCCCTAGGAAACAAGCTGAAAATAGAGGCTTACCAGCAAGAAGTCCAAGGCACTTGCATTCTAGCAGCTATTTTTTGTTTTATTATTTAAAGTTAAGAGCGCTCATCAGCTCACAAATTAACAAATTCCATTCCTGCAGTTCAGTTCAGGTTTCAGCCAAAAGGAAAAAAAAAAAAATAGAATGTAGCTAAACTAACTCTGCACTTTACATCTCAATAAAAGTTAAACCTCCTTGCTTTATAAATAAATGTTATAGTTAACACTGCAAAAATGTAATGGCAGATCTACAATATCTTTAAGAGGCAGAGAGCATTGGATTATTGAGGCATATGGATATGCTGGTTTATAAATAAAAGTAGAGAAGCTTCAGTAGCATATAGTGCATGGTTGTTTATCAGGGTTCTACTCTCCCAGTCTTGACCTTTCCCAAATCTCAGAGGCAGCTGCTTCACCCCCAACTGTGCTTTCCACTCTGCCTGGGGCCAAGAAATGAGCCACAGGCTGCCAAAGCCCAGCCACTCCCCCTGCAAGAAGATAAACTGCTGGAACAGCATCACGTTTACCAACACTGACTGTTTACCACCAAGGAGGGTTCTGCTAATGGAGGCAAATACCTACCCTGAGACTACGGATTTAAAGAGAAAAACTAGTTGTGTGCACATCCTAATTAAAGAAAGGAGCTTGCCCGAATAGTAGCCAAATGAGATTTCAAATTCAATCTCTGAAGTAGCACCATCCTCAGTAAAGCTGCAAAAAGAACCAAAAGCCAAAACCAGATGCTAACAACCCACTCCATGTAGGTTTCAGAACAGGATAATTAAGAGAACCCAATTGGTTGATACTAATAAACCTCAGAAGAACAAGAAGGCACCTTAAACTTTCATTTCTTTCTTGCTTCTTCCTTCAGACCGCCCTCATACAAACATGCCACCAACACTCACTTGCTTTAATAACCCCCCGAGCACCACCCACGCTACAAGTACCTCCCATCCTAGAGGGCTTCCAAGAGCACATCCTCAAAGATGGTTCAAGGTGCGCTGGTTTGGCTCTGAAACCTGGCCATAACCACCCTGTACAGCTCAATCCCTGCTGACCTCTGGAGCTAAAGGACCTCCACGCGGGGAAGGGAGTGAACGTGTGCAGAACGGGCAAGCTAAGGGCCTAACCACCACGTTAGTATTTTCTTTTTAAGGTAGCAGTTTTTCCTCCCCATTCATCAAAACCAACATCTATCGATGAAACTATATAACCAGAACTGACCTTACTATATCTTACAGGATTGAAGATGTCTTGCAGCATAGATAGGGCCTGGCTCTAAAAGAGAAAAAATAACCCACCTTTACGCACAATCATTGAAATCTCAGGCCTTTAACACCACTTGCTACTTGGCCAACCAAGGGAGGAAAAAAAAACGTCCTCAGCATACCCAGCCCTACTGCCATGCAAGGCAACTACCTCAGCAGAGCACAAGCCACTCGGCTGTTAGACTCATACTGTACCAAATCTGAGAAGGGGGTGGGGAAAGAATTAGTTGGAAGATATTTTATTCCTCACTTGCATTCCTATCTGTTCGGCATTTAGGATGGGAAGGGCTAGAGCACATGTGTGATGTGTAGCTGCTCCAAAGCTTAACGCTGAGTTAATCCAGCACTAATGGGAGAGGCAGCAGGTCCCAGGGATCTCCATTTTCCTTCCTTCTCAGGACAAGACGGTTGGCATGGGAAAGGGCAGGGGCTGCAGCCTTCTCTGGATACAGTGCACTGGAGATATCTGGTACCTGAAGATGACAACAATGAGGGACAGCCATGAGCTCTCGAGCCTCCTCCTCCTCCCCTACCCCTGCGCACGCCAGCTTGATGGTGACAGATGAGGACAAAGCTTGCAGCCCATCTCAGCACAGCGAAGGCCTTCGGCACCTAGGCAAGGATGGCCTGAGATCTTAGGCTGCACTACCTCTGCGGGGTGAAACAGGTGACAGGAAAGGCTGGGGACTTCAGCTCTCCCGCCCTAGTGCAGTTCAATGAAGGCTTCCAGCTCCTCAGGGATGAAACCCTTGTAGGGAATCTTGTGCTTGTCCAGGGCGCGAGCAGCAAGGCACTGGAGGGTGATGTAATTGAAGGGCTGCATCATGCTCTTGGTGAGCAGCTTCTCATCCAGCAGCTCATAAGCAGTCTGCTTGAAGGCATTGGTGGCGTCCATATGGGCTCCAGCCTCCATCAGGGCACTCATGATCAGCGGGCAGTTGTTGCGGGCAGCAACATGCAGCGGGGTGTTGTTGTCATAGTCACGGCTATCTGGGTCAGCCCCACACTCCAGAAGCAAGTTCACAACGTGGAGCGATGGGAACTTGCCCACGGGATAACGTCCCACTGTTGTGGTATCTTTGTCCACAGCCATATGCAAAGGAGTGAAGCCATTCTTGGCCCGAGGGCTGCACTTTAGCAGGCGGTAGATGGTCTGGCGCTTCTGGTGTTCCTGCTCCGGGGTGCACTCCACCTTCTCCAGCAAGAAGACCAGGTGGAGGATAATGGCCAGCGTCTTGGTGAACTGCGCTGAGTCAACTACAGGGTCCTTGCCGTGCACGAGCGCCCTCTCCACCTCCCGGACCCCTTTGCTCAGTACTCCCATGAGGTCAGAGAAGCCCAAGTGGGTAGCTAAAGTGCCTTTGGAGCGGTCCTGAAGCACGTAAGAGAAAAGCTCAGCAAAGGAAAGGAAACTGCTGGCAGTCATCGGGCTGAGAGGCTCCAGGTTGCCTTGCTGCATGTCCAGAGCATACTTCCACAGGTTAATGCAGCGTTCGAAGTTGCCGGAGTCAGCATAGACTGCCCCTCGGTAACGGATGTAATAGGAAGTGTCTGGGTGGGAAGGACCCAAGATGCGCTCTCTAATCAGCAGTGCCTGCATGCGCATCTCATCTGGATCAGTAATCAAGGCCTCCAGTTCCTCCAGCGAACTCACTTCCCGGGAATAGTCGTAGGCCAACACCAGCTGCCGGGGCTCAGGTTTAGGCAGGTACTGCCCGCCCTCACACCGAAGCTCCATCGCCCTTCGCCAGTACTTGTGGGCTCCCAAAAGGTCACGTTTCTTATCCACAAATGTAGCACCCAGCAACTCCAGTGCTTCCACAGCAGCCTCTCGAGTGCAGAACACGTTAGGGACCTGCTGCTCATCCTGACTGGAAGCTGAGGCACAACATTTCTCACACCCCTCTTCATCGCAGCCCTGAGGAGTTTCCTTGTCAGCGCTGCAGCACCTCTGATGGCTCCCACCTGATGCACAGGTCCCATTTTGGTTCCCTGCAACCTCCTCCTCCTCCTGCTGCAGCCCTCCTTGGATAAGGTACTCCACAATGTTGGTGTGACCGGTGACACTGGCAGCTAGCAGAGGAGTCATGCCATAGCCATCTTTCTCCATGCGGGCTTTGGAGCGGAGCAATAGCTGCAGGATCTCCAGGCTGCCGGACTCAGCGCAGTCATGCAAGGCCGTATTCCCCTTCACGCTCCGGCGGTTGACATCAGCCCCTTTCTCTAGCAAGTAACGTGCGATTTCCCGGTGCCCTTTGTAGCAAGAAATCATCAGACAAGTGTGTCCGTGCCGGTTGGCTACTTCCAGGTCAGCCCCGCGCTCCCCGACTAAGTAGCGCACTATCTCCAGGTGCCCATCAAAGCAAGCAGCCCGCAGCGGCGTGGAGTTGGTCAGCGTGGTCTGGTTCACTGACGCGCCGTGATCCAGGAGGCTGCGCACCACCCCCAGGTGCCCGGCAGCAGAGGCCGCCCAGAGCGGCGGGGCCCCCTCGATGGTCTCCCCATCGAAGTTGACTGAGCCTCCCTCCTCCACGCGGGCACCGCAGTGATCCAGCAGATACTCCACCACCTCCAGGTGCCCGTGCCGGGCGGCGATCAGCAGCGGGGTGCTCCCTCCCCCGGGGCCGTCGCCCCCGC